CTTGGGAGGCTGAGGCAGGAGACTCGCTTGAGCCCAGGAGTTGGAGGTTGCTGTGAGCTGTGATGCCATGGCACTCTACCCAGGGGGAATAGCTTGAGGCTCTGTCTCAAAAAAAAAAAAGATTCTCTCCTTCTAGGTTCTGGAAATTGTTTACTCTATGACCCTATAGGCCTAGGAGTGGTGACATACTGTTGTTACCAAACAGGAGTGCTGTGCTATTCCTTATGGTTTCCCAATATCTTCCCTTTGTTAGATATTTCCTAGTCTATTTAATCCACTTCCAGTTAGCCTAATTTGGGTGTGCATCTGTCTCCTCTGGTACTCTGACTGATACAGAAATACATAGAGAATTTCTTACTTTGTTAGACAGTGGAGAGGTGAAGTAAAGTATATTAAATTATTTCTTCCAGGTACTCTTTGAGACACTTTTACATGTTTTATTTAATTCTCCCAATAGTCCTGTAAATCACTATCATAAGCATTTCAAGAAAAGCAATTGAATTTCAGAGAGATTATACATACATTATCTTAGGCTTATTCAACTTCAGAGTGGAATTGAAATATATGTGCATCTGACTTTTTCTTGTCTGACATGCTGGAAGGAAATTCATTCAGTTTTTCTAAATGATATCAGTTATAAAAAGGGAAAAATCCTTTAATGATTTCTAGTTACTAACAGGACAAAGTCTAAATTCCTTAGCCAGCTGCTAATGGTTTATCATACATCTATTCATTCATTTATTCAACTAACATTTATTGAGCACCTGCTGTATTCCAGGCTCTGTTTAAGTATGGGAGATAAGACAGTGATCTAAAGAGACAAGATTCCTGATCTCACATAGTTAGTGTATATGGGAGACAAGCAAAAAATAAACAAGTGAGGTATGTAGTTTATCAGATAGGGACAAATGTTTTGGAGAAAAATAAAACAAGGAGAGGGGATGAAGAGTGTTGGGGAGGGGGTTGCAATTTGCAGTAGGGATGTCTAGGGCAGACCTCCCTGAGAAGATGACTTCCTGAGCAAAACCTTGAAAGAGATTGGAGAGCCAGCTTTGGCAGGCAGGAGTGGAGGATTGGAGACAGGAGATCCTTGAGGCAGGTGTGTGTCTAGATATTTGAAGAATAGCAAGGAGGCTAGTGTGCCTGAAGGTAAATGAGGGAGAAAGTAAAAGATACTGTCAGAGGGTAATATAGTGGTAGACAGATGACCTGAGCCTTGAGGACAGCATAAAGACTTTTCTTTTGAGTAAGGTGAAGCCACTGGAGAGCATTGAGAAGAACACATTTCAGCAGTCCTCTGAGGCAGCTGTGTAGAGAACAGACTGCAGGGGGCGGGGGTAGGGGCAAGGAGACCATTTGTGTCTGCCTCCTTTTCCTGAAGTTCACATAAATAGTGGCATTAACTTAATGCTTCATAAACCTGGTGAGCAATTTGTAAGCTCCAGTTTTGTTAACATTTACTTCACCTCTTGGCCCATCTAAGTCCTATCCATTCTTCTATCCCCAAAGCAAATGTCATGCTTCTTAGGACTAGGAAAGTGTTCAGGGAAGCCAGAGAGACAGGTTATCAGCCCTGAAAATAGTGCCTCACTTGATGATCAAGGCGGGAAAGTATGTCCAGCAGAAAGCTTCCAAGGTGATGGGGAGGATATGGGTATGTGGAACAAACCTAGGGATTCTCCTTCAGCTCATACAGTTCACAAAGCAAGCCATGAAGCTTATTTGCAGAGTTGATTGAGTTACTATTTTGTGTTCAATTTCTAACTTTGGATTCTATCACTTTTTTTTAACCTCTTTCTTTTTAAACAGGATTTTCAGCAGGATGGCAGACATGCGCTGGCTCGTCTTATCATCTTTTTCTTCAGAAGACTTCAGATGTTGCTGCGCTTTTTTTTGAATAACCATTTGCTGTAAAAGGAATATAAATGTCAAGTTCTGTTTTCTTTCTACCCTCTAAGAAGCATGAATCCCACTGAGACAGATGGGAAGATACCCTTCTCCATCTTCCTCTATTTTTGTATATCACTGTTGGTTTTTGCCTGTTTGTTGGAGAACTGCAGACTCACTATTTGTTCAGAGCAACAAGCTATGTCTGTGGTGCCTCATTGTAAAGCCCAAGAAGTAATTTGGAACCCAGGAAGCCTTGAGCATTTCTTTCCATGAATGAAATAGAACCTCATCCTCAAAGGAGAGGTCATAGAAACGGGCATTTTCTCCTGGGCCTCTCCCTGGGTACCATGCTTTCCAATGACCTGCTGGCCCCACTCTTGTTACCCATGTCCAGATCTGCCATGCCAGCTTCTCCTCAGCCACACTTCTTTACCTCTAACACCCCCAATTCCAACTCCTACTCTACATGGAAAATGGAAGGAAAACTATCTCTCAAACTCAAATCTAACATATGGCCCATCTGTATTCCCAGTTCCATGCCAACTACCATTATTTGTATTCCCAGTTCCATGTCCACTACCATTACCACCACCAATACTGGGTATTTCTAAACATTTCTCAGGGTCTGATTCTTTTCTTACTTTTTTTTCTTTTTTAAAATTTTTTATTCTCTTAACTCCTCTTTCAATTTCCTCAACCAATTGGATTTTCTTTTTATTATTATTTGACCCTGCAGGAAGTTATCTTTCATTGTTGTGCCATCTTCCTTTAGGCTTGTCTGCTTAATATCAGTGCTGCTTAGTCTTTGGCCAACAGTCCTGCCTTCTAGAGAAGCACAAGACCGAAATGAGTTATGAATTCGTCACGAAGCAAAAACTTTTAACTATTTTCCTATTGCTAAATGGTTTCGCTATTATTGGTTGGTGGGCCCTTTGCTGGTTGAATTCTTTTCTGTCCTCTCTTACGCAGTTCTTTCACTTTTATTCTTTTCCTTTTAGTCTACCTCAAATTCTCTCCCTCCTTTTGAAAGAATTCCAAATGTTAAGAAAGTTTGTTGTTACAAATTAATAGTTCTTTCTTGACTTCATAAGAAAAATGTTATTTAAAAAAATTTTTTAATGAAATAAATATTGTTATTAAGCATGAAACACCTGTGCATATTTCTTTTGTGAGAAAAGGATTCCACTTATTCCTGTTCATATTGGTTCATGAACTTTGGTTGTACGTAGCATTGATTTCCGATGGAAAATGTCCCCGATTTTTAAGTCCTTGTTGAGCAATGCCCCCATCATCACTGAGATTATGGTTGGCTGGCATAGAAGAGAACAAGATTCTTCCTTTTTATTTATTTTTTATTCTTTTGAATAGATACTTATTTTTGAGACAGAGTCTCTGTTGTCCAGGCTAGATTGCTGTGGTGTCAAGCAACTCAAACTTTTGTGCTCTAGCCATTCTCTTGCCTCAGCCTCCCAAGTAGCTGGGACTACAGGCAGCCATCAAGCCCCACTAATTTTTCTATTTTTAGTAGAGATGGGGGTCTTGCTCCTGCTTAGGCTGGTTTCAAACTCTTGCACTCAGGTAATCCATCTGCCTTGGCCTCCCAGACTGCTAGGATGACAGGCATGAGGCTCTTGTGCCTGGCCTTGAATAGGTATTTTTTTTTGTTCGAAGATCAAAACAGGCAAGGGGTAAGTCACTCACACCTGAAATCCTCTCTGGGAGGCCAAGGCAGGAGGGTCACTTGAGATCAGAAGTTTGAGACCAGCCTGAGCAAGACTGTCTACAAAAAATAGAAAATTAAGTGGGCAAGGTAGTTACTTAGTAGGCTAAGGCAGGCGGATCACTTGAGCCCAGGAGTTTGAGGTCGCAGTGAGCTATGATGATAGTACTACACTCTATCCAAGGCAACAGTGAGACTGTCAAAAAAACCAACAACAACAAAAAATATATATATATAAAAAGGCCTGGCTGAGGGAAGTGCCTATGGTTCAGTGAGTAGGGCTCTGGCTACATATACCGAACTGCAAACAAAAAATACAAAAAATAGCCAGGCGTGGTGGGTGCCTGTAGTCCCAGCTATTTGGGAGGCTGAGGCAAGAGAATTGCTTAAGCCCAGGAGTTGGAGGTTGCTGTGAGCTGTGTGACACTATGGCACTCTACTGAGGATGATAAAGTGAGACTGTCTTTACAAAAAAGAAAAAAAGGCCTGGCTGGGTGTGGTGGCTCATGCCTGTAATCCTAGCACTCTGGGAGGCCAAGGCAAGTGGATTGCCCTGAGCTCAGGAGTTTGAGACCAGCATGAGCCGAAGTAGAGACTCCCTGACTCTACAAAAAAAAAAGCTGGGTGTTGGGGCAGGTGCCTATATTCCCAGCTACTTGGGAGGCTGAGGCAAGAGAAACACTTGAGCCCAAGAGTTGGAGATTGCTGTGAGGTATGATGCCACAGCACTCTACCAAAGGCTACAAAGTGAGACTCTGTCTCAATAAAAATAAATAAATAAAAGAAAATATATGAAAAGGCTGGCTGTGGTGGCTCATGCCTATAATCCTAGCACTTGGGAGGTCCAAGCTGGTAGATTCCCTGACCTCAGGAGTTTGTGACCAGCCTGAGCAAGAGCAAGACCCTGGGCTCGGCGCCTATAGCTCAACCGGCTAAGGCGCCAGCCACGTACACCTAAGGTGGCGGGTTCAAATCCCCAGCCCCGACCCGCCAAACAACAATGACGGCTGCAACCAAAAAAAATAGCCGGGCGTTGTGGCGGGCGCCTGTGGTCCCAGCTACTTGGGAGGCAGAGGCAGGAGACTCGCTTGAGCCCAGGAGTTGGAGGTTGCTGTGAGCTGTAATGCCACGGCACTCTGCCCAGGGGGACAGCTTGAGGCTCTGTCTCAAAAAAAAAAAAAAAAAAAAAAAAAAAAAAAGAGCAAGACCCTGTCTCAAAAAATAAATAAATAAATAATAACCGGGCATTGTGGTGGGCGCCTGTAGTCCCAGCTACTTGGGAGGCTGAGACAAGAGAATCCCTTAAGCCTGAGTTTGAGGTTGCTATGAGCTGTGACACCACAGCACTGTACCCAGGGCGACAAAGTAAGACTATGTCATATATGTATACATATATATATAATATACTTATAGTGAAAACCTTGTCTTTTCTATCCTGAATTAAAATTGCATATTATATATTTTAGAGTTTCTTTGTTAAATACTAGTTAAACACATAACAATGAATGAATCATGTAATACACATTATTTTGTACCTTGATATTTTTGTTTAGCATGATGATCAAGCACTTATTCTAGGTGTTTTATAAATGTTAACTCATAACCACCTTATGAGATAGGTATTATTATTAGCTTTATTTTACCATTAAGAAAACTGAGGCAGTAGTTAATTTAGAGAGGCAGTAGATTAAGTGTACTAACATGCTTAAAGGCCTATGGGCAGAAATGACATAGCTGAGATTCTAAGCTGGGTGGGCTGTCCTGAGTCCACATTCTCTCTCTCTCTCTCTCTTTTTTTTTTTTTTGGCTAGGGATGGGTTTGAAGCTGCCACCTCTGGTATATGGGGCTGGTGCCCTACTCCTTTGAGCCACAGGTGCCACCCTCTGAGTCCAGATTTTTAACTGCTATGCTGTACTGCAGGGGTCCTCAAACTTTTTAAACAGGGCACCAGTTCACTGTCCCTCAGACTGTTGGAGGGCAGGACTGTGGGCCAGGACTAGTTGGCTGCAAAGTGGGATGGGTGGCGGTGGCAAAAAGACCCAGCCAGCTTGATAAATGTCCTAGGCGGGTTGCATGTGGCCCGTGGGCCATAGTTTGAGGATGCCTGCTATACTGCCTCTTAGAGAGCTTGCTGTGGTGCATAGTGTCATCACATTCTGCACAGTATTCTGTTAAAATGGATGTATTGATACCATAATTTATTTCATTAGCTCCATCTTATGAACAGCTGAGTTATTTCTATCATTTGCTATTATAAACCATGATGAAATAAGTAACTATATATATTTTGGATATTTGTTGAATAAATTCTTGGTAATAGGATTGCTGGGTCAAGGGTAAATGCATTTATAACTTGGTGAGATCCTTGGTGAGATGGCACCACTTTGCATTCCCAGTGGAATGCATGTTCCCCTCAGCCTCTCCAGCAGATTATGTATTAAACTTTTAATTTCTTGGAAATCTGTGAGTAAAAAAAGATATCTCAGAAAAACTTTAATTTGTACATTTAAAATACTTAGTCTGAGCATCTTTTTCTATGTTCGGGGGCCATTGGGCACTTTGTTTTAGTGGATTGTTTATTCATATCTTTTGCTCATTTTTCTATTAAGTCACTGGCTTTGTTCTTACTGGTTTCTTATTGCTAACATATGATATGCTAGTACTAAACCTTCCTTATAACTGTGCCTACACCCTCAGATTTTCAGCAGAACGTTGTTAAGGTTTTTCCTTCCTTGCTTTTGGCATGTGTTGGTTTGCTTTTGTGTTTACAACCTCGCTCAGCTTCCTCTCAAGCAGGGGGAGCTGAGGCAGGTGAACGAACGTGGTGATGGATGAGAGGGCACCACTCCTGGAGCAGCCAGATGCCTGGCAGAGGCATCAATAGGGACCACTGATGTAGGAGGAGCACCATAGTCTCCCTGATCGTAGCGTTACAGATGGGGACTGTGGGGACCCCACTCCTAAGGGGAGAGGCACCTGGTCCAGGGGAGACCCCATGGAGGGAACCCTCCCATCCATCTGTGGAGACGCAAAGGGGCGACCTGAAGTTGGCCTGTCTATTCCCCAGCTCCTTAGTTTCTCAGATCCCTCAGACTCCCACTTCTGTTCCCCTGGAGCCAAAACCAGGCTGCCGGAGGGGCGGTCCACCGGAAGATGCCTGCAGCTCCCACACCTCCCGGGCTGGCGAGCAAGCATCGCCTGGCGGCTGCGCTCTCCAAAGGTCGGAGTAGACCGCAGGGGCGGGAGTGGAAGCCGCATCCCGCTCTTTCACTTTCGTTTCCGGGAAGGATAGCGATTACCTAGAGCATCGCACCACCTGCTCACCAGAGACCGGAGCACACACGCCTGGGCGCTTCTGGAAAGAGATTTCCTTCCTCTCAACCTACCAGTTCTCAGGGTCAGGTTAGGGGTTTGTGGGAGGAGGTCTCACGGGGGCACAGGCCTAGGGCCCCAGCAGCTACAGCCGGGGGAGCACACAACAGAAAGCCGGGTGGTTCCCTCACCTCCAGGTAAGACCCCAGTGGCTGAACACGCACTCGCTCGGGATCCCATCTGCCTCCTATACTCTCTCCAGCACCTCAATTTCCAAATGTGATTTATCAGGCTTTTTTTTTTTCTGGTTGGAACCTCACTTTCCATCACATTCCTAAACCTCACCATCCATTCCTCACCAACTTACCCCACTACTTCCAGACACAGGTGACCCCTGCTCCCTACCCATGTGTTTCATACGACTTGGAACTTGGAGGGCATCAGACACAGTGCTTGCAGATACTTTCTGTGGTCTCCTTACCTCATCATCACCCCAACCAGATGTGAGGTCCCTGGAAGTTAGTGCACAAGTCGGGTCCCTAAAGCTGGCAAATGCGCTTATGCAGGGGCCCCCACCTCTCTTGGCAGACCCTCCCCACTTGTGGTTTTCCCTAGGAGCTTTGGAACTTTCCTTGGAGCTGGGGCCAGTCCCACCTCCATGCCCTTTCTTTTTATTTATTTTTCTCTTTTTTGTGTTTACATCAGGGAAGTTGAAACCACGCCCTTTCTACACTCATCTCTGTCCAAGACTCATACCCATGTATCAGACCCTGGCTGACCTTTTTGCTGACACCCAAAGGTCCCTGGCTGGCATTTTCCAGGCAGTTACAGCCCTGGAATTCCCCGTTCCTCTTTCTTGGAAGAGAACAGAGAAGTAGACGAGGAGCCTCCTGCAAGTCCTAGGCAAGTCTCTGGCCTTGAGCCCCTTCTCCAGCAAGGAACTCTCCTTTCTCCCTCCCAGGTGGCAACCTCTGAGGTTTGGTAACCTGGGGAACAGCACCAATTGGGTCAGGAAGGAAGGGCCAGCCCGAACTGAAATGGGAATTACCCCCAAAGGTGTTGAATCACCTTTTGTGGCAGCCAAGCCTTCTGGGGTTTGCTTTGCCGGCTCCAGCTCCAAAGATCTTTCTCTGAAGATTGCTGTCCTCAAACTGAATATAAAGCTCTTGAAGACACTAGAATGAAAAATAACTCTTGTTGGAACTGGTTTCACTTTTCCCTTCCATGGTATGGCAGCCTGTGGCTGGGCATGAGACCCTGTTTCCATAAAATCTTGTCACTTTTAAAATTCTCTTGTCCTGAAGGATGAACCAAATCACCCCTGGGGTCTATGCTTTTTGTAAAATTTTAAAGGTACAAACTTCCCTTGCTGAGACCTTGGGGTTCAGAAATTTATCCTTTCTTTTTCTCTTTTGAAAATAATATTTGCTTGTTTGTCTACTTCTGATTTAGGGCATTTTAACCTGGGTTCTCGCTCCAAGGTTCCAATGAGTGAGTATTGCTGGGCCCTCGGATTTCAGTCTTTCAAGTCAAGTCCCTGCAGGGGATTGCTCTGGTAGAGTTAGGCACATGCATAGAAAGCTTGACTCAAAAGGATGAAATTTATCAAGTATCCATTCTGTACAAGATATTGATGGTACCGAGTTGAAGATATACGTGGTTAAGGTTATCTTTAAGGTTGATGCAGTCTTTTGGCAGAAATGAATACTCTTTCTCTTCCAAAAACATTCTTAATAATTTAAAGATGACTGAGCTTCCACCAAGATGCTCTTCTTTGACTGCCCTGTTTTTTTCTCTCTCTAGGAGGGAGCATTGACCAGTTCTCCTGTTAGCCCCATGGCAGCCATGCCACTCCAAGGCACCCAGGTCCAAGCCAGACATGAAGCTCAGCTGAACCTGCTGGGTGAGGGGGGCATCTGCAAGCTGCCAGGACGACTCCGTAAGTAGATGGGAGGAGGAAAGCTGATTTTTAAAATTAACTTTTAAGTGAAAATTATACATTATGATTGTCTATATTTATGGGGTACAAAGTGATGTTATGATATATATACCTCATATATATGTATATATATATATCATGTATATATTTATGATGTAGAATGACTGAATCAAGCTAATTAACATATCCACCACCTGAAATACATTTCGTTTACTATTCTTCTCTAGCTGCAACTCTGTATCCTTTAACCAACAAATCCCCAGTCTCCCCACTCCCTGCATCTGATAACCACTGTTCTACTCTCTGCCTCTGTATATTGTATTTGATTCTACACATAAGTGAGAACATGTGGTATTTGTCCTTCTGTGCCTGGCTTATTTAATTCAGCATAATGTCTTCCAGATTCATCTGTGTTGGTGCAAATAGAACAGCTAATATTTTAAGGGACATAAATGTGATATACAGACTCTTTTTGTCTAAAGAATTACCTTCCCTCTGTTCGCTATTTCTTTGCTAGGTTTTCTTTAACTTTTCCTTGGTAAGGAAGTCAGAGAAGGTATATAGCTGACATGGCCACGTGTGAGGGGCGGACAGTTTCCTCACTGGTAAGATGAGGGTTGGGATCAAATGAGCCATTGAGATCCCTTCCAACCTAAAACTGGTAAGAACTGGGGACATTGCCAGGCAGGAAACCAGGTGAGGCTAAACTGGGTATGTTTATGTGTGTAGTTGTATGTATGTAGAACCCTCTTTTAAATCATTAATTTTTATGGTTATAAAATTAGCATGTACTTATTGTTTGAAATTGGGAAATGACAAAGAAGTATAAGAAAAATATATAGAATAGTCATATCTCCCCAGAGAAAAGCATGGGAAACATATTTGCCATATCTTCATTTTCTTTTCCTAAATAAGGCTCTGAGTGAGGAAACTTATAACCACAGAACGGGCTGTAAATTAGTGTATTTAGGCCTATGTTCCAAGTGGCAAAGTTGAGAGGCAGAAAAGCTAAGCTCAAGATCACACAGGTTTTTGATGGATGCTAAAGCCAGACCTTGGTAATCTAAGAGATTTAAAAACATCTTCCCTGGGCGGCACCTGTGACTCAAAAGGGTAGGGTGCTGGCCCCATATGCCAGAGGTGGCGGGTTCAAACCCAGCCCTGGCCAAAAACTGCAAAAAAAAAAAAAAAGTACTTCCCAAGCCATGGAAATCATCAATCAGATAGTCAGCTGGTTGACTGGGATCTTTGATCTAGGTGGGAGTTTTGGGGCTACTGTGGGTGGGCACATCGAGCTGGGTTATGAATTCTCCTGGACACTTCCTGACCAGCTGGCTCAGTGGCTGGAACCCTGTTTTACTCACTTCACACCTTTCTGATTTCCTAGCCACACCCTGCTTAATTGAGCCACCGATAGGACTAAACTAAGAGTTGAGAAAAATGTGGCCTTGGGAAGAGCCTGCTGGCACTTACATACCTCTGCCATCCACAGCCTGGCAACCTTTTTTTTTTTTTGAGACAGAGCCTCAAGCTGTCCCCCTGGGTAGAGTGCTGTGGCATCACAGCTCACAGCAACCTCTAACTCCTGGGCTTAACTCTCCTGCTTCAGCCTCCCAAGTAGCTGGGACCACAGGCGCCCACCACAATGCCCAGCTATTTTTTGGTTGCAGCTGTCATTGTTGTTTGGTGGGCCTGGGCTGGATTCGAACCTGCCACCTTAGGTGTACATGGCTGGCACCTTAGCCACTTGAGCTGCAGGCACCGAGCCCTGGCAACCTTTTAATGGGGAACAGAGACTGTCTTTCTACATTTAGAGGGAAGTTGGTACTCACTTGCCCAGGAGCAGGATCTGGAGGGAGATGAGTGTGGAGGAGGGCCTGGTGCCACAGGACAGTGGTGGACAGAAGCCCCAAGTCTACTTGGGGGATGGTCTGGGGAATTCTACAAGGACTGTCTGTTGCTTCAGTCACCAAATCCTAGTATGTCTGTGCTGGTAGAGACTCCTGTTGTTGTGGCATATAACTCCCTTTTTTTCCAAATAAGGAAATCAAGGCCCAGGAGGCTGTTTTGCCCTAGATTATGTAACATTCAGTTTCCTCCCTTCCACTGGGTGGCTAGCTCAAGGTTACTAGGTGAGAGGGTATAGGAGGAGAAGTGAGGATTTAGAAAGTTTAGTCATCACCTTGATAAATACAAATCTGCAAGCCTTTTAATTTTTTTTGAATTTTTTTTGCAGTTTTATTTTTTCTTTGGCTGGGGCTGGGTTTGAACCCACCACCTCCAGCATATGGGGCTGGCACCCTATTCTTTTGAGCCACAGGCGCCACCCAGCCTTTTAATTTTTTGAAGAGTGCATTTTCTAGGCCTAGCATGGTGGCTCATGCCCGTAATACCAGCACTTGGGAAGCCAGTGGATGGATTGCCTGAGCTCACAAGTTCGAGACCACCCTGAGCAAGAGCAAGACCCCACCTCTAAAAAATAAATGGGCAGAGCAGTGTCTGTGGTTCAGTGGGTAGGGCGCTGCCCCCATGTGCCGAGGGTGGTGGGTTTGGCCTGGCCCTGGCCAAACTGTAACAGAAAAATAGCTGGGCGCTGTGTGCCTGTAGTCCCAGCTACTCGGGAGGCTCAGGCAAGAGAATCACCTATTCCCATGAGTTGGAGGTTGCTGTAAGATGCCACGGCACTCTACTGAGGGCTATAAAGTGAGACTCTGTCTCTACAAAATAAGTAAATAAATAAAATAATAACTGGGCATTATGGTGGGTACCTGTAGTCCCAGCTACTTTGGAGGCTCAGGCAAGAGAATCACCTAAGCCCAAGAGTGACACAACTGCACTCTACTGAGGGCTGCAAAGTAAGACTCTGTGGACTCAAAAAAAAAAAAAAAGTGCATTTTTTTTTTTTGCAGTTTTTGGCTGGGTCTGGGTTTGAACCCACCACCTCTGGCATATGGGGGTGGTGCCCTACTCCTTTGAGCCACAGGTGCCACCCCAAGAGTGCATTTTTTTTTGTCCATGAGTTTGTCATGGGGACCCAGCTGTATTTTCATTCGGGATGTGGGGGGGATGGTGTGAGGTTGAAGGTAAGTCTAGAAGGTGATGGTGGAATCAGATCTGGGACAAGGAGTGGGTAAGAACTGGTAAGACCATAGAAGTTTAAGGGCATGATTACCCTTTCAGATACTTTGAGGAGAGACTTCTGGAGTTCTCTTTTTCTCTGAATCTTGGTTAGGAGACAATAGAAAAGAACAACTTAATCTGATTTTAAGATACATACCTATCTATTAACTAAAGATGTAAGGGTAGCAAATTTAACATGACTTCTAAGAAACACTTCCTAATAATGAAGTTCAAATACAAGATCTATAAGTCTCCTTGGAGCACTGGAAAATCATATTTCCAAGTAAGATCGAACTCTTCAAGCACAGGAGTTCACTAAATATTTGTCGAATGAGTAAATGAAAGACTAGAGGTCTTGATCCAGGACGTGAGTGCCAACCTATGCAGAACTCCTCTGAGATGGTCACCAGGTCTTGCTTACTTCTAGTGACAGGAATTCCTCCTTCTTTTTTTTTTTTTTTTTTGCATTTTTTGGCCCAGGCTGGGTTTGAACCCACCACCTCCAGCATATGGGGCCGGCACCTTACACCTTTGAGCCATAGGCGCCACCAGGAATTCCTGCTTCTTAGGGCAGCCTGTTCCCTGGTTGTACAGGTTACTGTGGCCTCTTTTACCCCTAGATTAGAACTGAAGTACTAGTCCTATTGTCTTGGTTAGATTTCCCCAGAAGCAGACCCTGAAATACTGGTGAGGCGTGGGGAAGAAAGACAGAGAAGAAAAGAAAATCTAAACAATGTTATTTCAGACCAGTCACTGTAGGCAACTGAAGCTCAAGCCTTATGGGGATCACTGGGGACAGTGTAGAGTATACCCTAAATTAGCTCGACCAAAGGGTAAGGAAGCTGGGGCTTTATCCACTTACTCCCCATCCTTGATGGGGGGAGTGCTGCTTCTAGGGTTGCTGACTCTCTAGCATTTCCAAGTTACCCTCTATACTGGGTGAGGGGGGCTCCTGTAGCCAGGAAAAAGCCCCAAGGCAGAGTCAGGTGCTGGCATAGAGTGCAGTGGGGAGAGCCGGTGGCTGATGGTGGGGCCCCGACTGTCTTCTATATCTTTCCCCTTAGATTCCATGACTCATATCTATTGGAACTTCTGAAAGTATTCTGACAACACAGTTCTGGCCCTTAGTAAATATCTAACAGTTTTTAAAAGATAAAGTATGCTAAATGACTCATTTTCCTGTCAAGAACATCCCAAATAAGCAAACTGCTGATGTCAAATGAGGGCTTGACTTTTCAGATGTCTGGGGTGGTATCAACCTCCTATTCCTACAGTTCTGGAAACTGGACCTTCAGATCTGAGCACCTCTCTGACATTTATTCCCAGTCACCTACCCTGTTACCTCCTTCTCCTCCAGCGGCCATCCTAATAATCGGGGCTGATTCGCCTCATGGGGAACTTAACAAACAAAACAAATCTTGCCTAGCTTTGTGAGTCAGCACTGTGTGGCCTCCCAAGCTCACTCATCTGCATTTATCTGCCTGGCCAACAAAGCTGTGCTGTAGAGCAGGAGAAAGGCCACTTGAGGACAAGTGGGTTGTGGCAAGGGATGAGAGGTAAGCAGGGCTAGAGGAGTGGGATTTTTTTTTTTTTTGGAGATAGAGTCTCACTTTGTCACCCTTGGTAGAATGCTGTGGAATCTTAGCTCACAACAACCTGAAACTCTTGGGCTCAAGTCTTCCTTTTGCCTCAGCCTCCCAAGTATCTGGGACTATAGGCCACTGAAGTGCCTGGCTATTTTTAGAGATGAGGTCATGCTCTGGCTCAGGCTGGTCTCAAACCTGTAAGCTCTGGCAATCCTCCCACCTAGGCGTCTCAAGTGCCGGGATTACAGGTGTGAGCCACCAAGCCCAGCCAAGGAGGGGGATTTGAGGGGCTTT